TTTTGGAAAGCTCAGGGAGCTTCTTGGCAAAACTTTTGGGGGTGGACCTTGGAAAGCTCAGGGAGCTCCTTGGCAAAGGTTTTGGGATCAGATCTTGGAAATCTCTGGGAACTCTTTGGCAAAGCTTTTGGGATCAGACCCTGGAAAGCTCAGTCGGCTCCTCGGCAAAGCTTTTGGGATCAGACCCTGGAAAGCTCAGTCGGCTCCTCGGCAAAGCTTTTGGGATCAGACCCTGGAAAGCTCAGGGAGCTTCTTGGCAAAACTTTTGGGGGTGGACCTTGGAAAGCTCAGGGAGCTCCTTGGGAAAGCTTTTGGGATCAGATTTTGGAAAGCTCAGGGAGCACCTGGGCAAAGGTTTTGGGGATTGGATCCTGGAAAACTCAGGGAGCTCCTTGGCAAAGCTTTTGGGATCAGCCCCAACCCCCTCTGCTGCAGCCCCACAGGGAGATGAGGCCCAGCTCGTAGGAACAGGACGGAGCTCCCAGCGCTCCCAGAATGATCCCATCCCTTCCTTTCTGGGATGGGCGGAGTTTGCTGCGAGCTCAGGGTGCTCATTCCCCCAAGGATGCCTCCTCGAAACGCTTGACTTCATTTCTTGGACGCCTCTCCCCTCAGGACTCTGCAGGATGTATGGATGGAAATTACTATTTACGGCATGTTTTGGGGTGGTTTGGTCCCTCAGAGCACCCCAGGGTCAGCTGTGCCCACCCTTGGGTGCCAGCATGGGGCGAGGGGGGGGACTCGCTGCGGGTGCTGCGGGCGGTGGATGCCTTGGACAGGGCGATGCTGCCATCCAGTGGGCTGGAGAGGAGCAGGGAAGCGGGAATTCTCCTTCCAGCTCCTTGGGAATGCAGGAGAAATCCTGCTCTAACCCTTCTGCTGATCCACGGGCCGGGAGGGGGTTATTGCTGATGTGATTCCGCAGGAGGAGGGAAATTCAGCCTCAAAGGCAGGAAAAGTGGCTGAACCCCCGTGGGTTTGCTGAGGTGGGAGCCTTGGTGGGGTTCCCAGGATGGGTTTTCGTGTCTCAAGAGCCCTAAAAATCATCAAGGATTAAAGAAACAACCCCAAAATCCTCTTTGCAGCTCCCCTCTGGTCACAGGATGCCCCCAAAAGCTACACGAACTGGTCCTAATCCAGGAACCCCAATTCCTGAGCCCACCTGGAGACACGGAGACACCTCAACTTCCTGGTGTGCCTTGATGGGGTTTTGTGTCTCAAGAGCCCTAAAAATCATCAGGGATTAAAAAAATCACCCCAAAATCCTCTTTGTATCTTCTCTCTGGTCATCAGATACCCCCACGAACTGGTCCCAACCCAGGATCCCCAATTCCTGAGCCCACCTGGAGCTCCTCTCTGCAGGGGCAGAGACACCTCAAATTCCTGGTTATTGCAAAGCTCTTTTTTGCATCATTTTTTTGGTGCTTTTAACCCACGTTTGCCCCTCCCATGCCCCCCAGGATCCTTCAGGACCCCTTCACCTCCTGGTCAAGCTGGAGAAGACAAGCACAGAAGGAAGATGCAGCTCCCTGGATTTCAGCAGAGGGAAGGAACAGCAGGATCTTGCTGATGGAACAGAAACCTCCTCTGAGAACGTGTCAGAAGAGGGGGAGGTGATCCCGGCTCTGGAGTCACGAGTTTCCCACATCCACTGACAGTGGGTGGGATAAAGGACCTACTGCAGCAAAACTTGCTGTGGGTGGCTTCAAAAACCTGCTTGGAGGTCTGATGGAAGGGGAAACCCCTCAATTTAGAAATTATGTCCCGAAAAAAAAATCCTCAAATTCTGGTTTAACCCTGGTTTGGGAGACGAGAGAAAAAGGGTCCCACCACCCTTTCGTGTCTAAACCTGGTTTTGAAAAGCCCTGACCCCGTTTTGGGAGTCCTGGCCTTGGTTCCTTCCCATTTAAGGGGGTTTGAAGCCACCTCTGTGTCCCTGAGGAGGAGTTACTGTGTCCTGTGGGGTTCCCTGAGTGAGGGGGGTCCCATAATCCAGCCCCAAATCCAGGGGTTTGGTCACCGTCCCAGGATGGTGGAGGGTGAACCACAGACCCCTCCCAAGGGAAAAGAGGAGGGATCCCACTCCCAGGGTGATCCCAGGGTGATCCCACACCAGTTCTCAACAAGCTCCTCCAGCACGAGCGACTCCTGAATTCCCACCACATGCCCTTCCAAAAACAAAAGGTTTGGAAACCCTTTATGGGGACACCTCAAAAAAAACCCACCCAGATCAAAACATGCTGTGTGAAGCAAAAAATGACTTTTCTTGACCAGCTTCCTATTTTTTTTTTTTTTTCCAGGAGAAAAGGCCCCCTCAGGGCTCCACAACCCTCACTTCCCATGTTCCTTCCATGAAACTCGTGGGACAAAAGCCACCACCTATCATTATGGAGATGACAAAACCAGGCTCACCAGTGTTAATTTGGATGCTTCAAGACCTTCCTTTGCTCCTACCAGACCCAAAGGGTCTCTCCCAACCTCAGCAGCTCCAGATTTACACCCTAACCACCCAAAATCCAACCCCTTTGGAAGGTCAACCACCCGGAGCTCACGACAACGTCGCTGCAAAGTGGCTTTCAATCAGTGCTTTTTTTAATCCATAAAAGGTGAGAATCCAGGTACAAATTAAAAAAAAAAATAAAAAAAAACACCAAAAAAATTAACATAAACCAGCTGAGTTTTTTGGGGAACGATCCGACCCCCACCACACAACCCCTCGGAGGGGTCGGGTGGTGGGGGCGGGAACGCGACGGCGGCTTCTCCTGAAGAAATTCCACCTCCAGCTCGGAGACATCGGCGCCTGCAGCAGGCTGAGGGGCGTGGGAAGGCGCTGCCAGCTTGGTTTTTTAAGGGCAAGGTGCCCTTTTCCACCACCCTCCTCCCCCTCCTCTCCGCCCCCACGCGAGGGGCAGCTGGGAGGGTGAGGCGGGAAGGCCGATTGCACCAGATGGATCCACAATCCACCTGGGTGATGCCTCAGCCTTTGGAGAGGCCTCTTGGTCAACGACACAGGGCTGCAGACCCTTCTTTAGTTCACAGAGCCATGGGGTGGGCTGGGAAGGGCTTTAAAGACCATCCCGTTCCACGCCCGCCGTGGGCAGGGTTGGACCTTCCACCAGACCAGGTCGCTCCAAGCCCCGTCCAAGCTGCTCCTTTCAAGTTCTCCTTAAGCCCTGCCCGACCCGGCCTCGTTCCTTTAGGTTTTTCCTTAAATAAAACCAGGGTTAAGAGCTTGGCACAAGGGGGAGTTGAGCCACCCAGAAGACGCCCCAACCCCGGGGGGAAGATGTTGGGGCGACAATTCCTCCACCCTCCCCAATCCCTTCCTCAAACCCCAAATTCCTCCCCCACCTTCCCAAGTACAAAAATACAACCACGACCTCTCTCTGAAAGGGTATTTTATACCTACCAAGATCATCCAAGGCCTGAAGACCAGAGACAGAGCCTTCAGGGAAAAAAAAAAAAAACAAAGGAATGCCCGAGGTGGAAAGGTGGGGGCTGGAGAAGGAAACGTTGCCGATACATCCGACCGCGGATTCGGAGCCTCCCAGCATTCCCAGGACAATTATCAAGATGCATGGATGCATCAGCCCAGGCTTGGAGTGCTGACAGCACAACGGGAGGGTAATAGCAACGTGTGCAAGATCTCCAATAGCAGCAGAAATTTAGTAGTTTAATAATCTGGAGGAGTTATCTGCCTGGAATTTTAATCTCCTGCCAGAAGGAAAGAAAAAAAAAAAAAAAAA